AACACACGCAAATATGATGAAGACACGCATGCATGAAATGTAACTCACTTCCTCGAACCGTCCCTGACTTTGACAGAGGAGAGCCAAGTTGTTCAATTGTTTTGCCACATCTGGGTGATTTGGACCAAGAAGCTGATGTACAAATGTGAAACGTGTGGAACGATGAAGAGAAAGATAGAAAAAGGGACCGGTTAAACAACATCATAGTTCTTAGTTTGTGCAACTAAACAGTCAAGGGTGTGTTAACATATATGTTGGTTTAGTTCGTGGCAAAACAATCTATGCACTACGGAAACAGTAACCCGATATGGACACCTTCTGGCACCAATGAGATTAAAACAGAAGCTCCTGACGGTTAAGATCATCCAGGGGATTAAGTGTCTCTTTAGCCCGGTGATTTGTTTATTTTATTATCACATACGTCTAACGCCACACTGCGTGCCAAACAAATCACGATACAATGATGTTGATAAAAAAGAGAAAAAGGTTCATGATTTGCTTGTGAGCACGACACTACCAGGTTACCCAGGCCAAAACAGATGAACTTTCTTGGGGAATTCATAACCGGAGCCTTCGGCTAATCAGAGTCTGACTCGCAAGGTAGTGGGGCGGTGTCTGATTCATTGGGGGCCGGGGGCCAGTTTATCGGACCATTCAACCTTCGGACGGGGTCAAACGTCCAAGATGCTAAACACACCTCTATGCCCAATTGAGCGGGTGACCACTGCCACAAACAGGAACGTGTGTGTGTGTGTGGTTCGTACGCCTACCGTTGGTTGGTTTGGAATCAAGGATTTGAAGGCAACTCCCAAAGGTGAACTGCCTGTGGTTCATCCACCCGGACATTGGTTTTTCGACCTCTCAGTCTGGTGGGAAAACAGCTCCGACCCATGGGAAGGTTTTCCCGACAGAGGCTATTTGAGATGCTTGGTCGTACGGGGGTATTGCGTGAGGAGCAACAGAAAAGTGACCAGTCGTAACCGGAGGCACCCACCCTTGATCATACAGAGGCTGCCGGTGAAGTCGGTATCTATCCCATCGCCGGTTCATCGTGCGCCAAAACCATGACGGCACGTTTCCAGATCCCGGGGAAAATTATCAATGACAAGAAGCTTCAGTTTGAAATGAACATGAAAAATTGTACAACTAAAGATTCAAAAGGGATTCAGATTTTTGAAAAAAAATCTGCATTCAATTAACGGTTAATTGTGAATAATGGTGCGGAATAAATGGTATTCAATTCTAGCCTAGAAGATGAAGTTGAGATAATACAACCAAATGGTGGATAGCTTTGCTGTCATCCTTATGTGGTTCGCCAATCCAAGTCCCGGGTCTTAGGTTGCCGGTTTTCTTCCCTGAACAGTAGACTTACACAACTAGGGCGTTCACTGTCCCCCCCCCCCACACGTCTGCTGTTCATCACACAAAAATGTGTGCAACAAAAACCTAGTTTGGTGGGAGATTTCGGTTGGAAGTAATAGATAGTATACTTGATCTATCTTCGATGCTATCAGGTGAAAAGAATTTACTGTCTGAAGGCGACATTTGAACAGATGTAAATTGGTAATTCTGCTCAGATCGAATAAGAGCTGTTTGGCACGATGATAACACATAAATTCCGTGCGATGATCTGATTGGAGTTTAAACTCTGAACGGAATGGTAATAGGCATTCCTGATGAGCTCTAATGAGAGTGAAATGCGAGTAGAATGATTCCCCGGTTTATGATTGATTGGATCAACTGAGATTGTGTATGACGATGAAGTTTTGAGGGACAGAAAGTCAGTTCAAATCAATAAAGTTTGGATCGCCCTACTTTGGGAAACTGCAGAGAGGCGTGTTAACTGCAAAGAACTACCCTGTGAACAGAGAGTAAACCCAAGCAAGTCGCTCTCGCTCGCAGCGTCCGCCGGGTTTGATGAATTAGGTCAACAGGAACGGTATATAGAACGACCTATCAGTTGCAGTATCCCGACCTATCTAAGGAGATACAGTGTGCAGGTTGCATCAGACAACGGACTGGTGGACTTTTCGGAGTTATCTCATCATAATAGTAATAATAACAAAATCCTGTAATGATTGCGAGTGAATCGATTCGTGTTTGTGTCAGAATAAACCGTTTCTGGCTATATAATAACGTTGTTCATATGAATAAAAGAATAGGAAAACGCACTCGATGGAAATTTCTAGTCCTTCGGACGAATGTAAAACGGACGCGATGGGTTTGAAATCTTTGTTTAAACCCATACACCTTAAGCATGATTAACAACAACAAAAATAATGACAAAAATGACAACAACAATAATCGGGATTCAGATGATCAGGACAACAAATGACAAGTTTTCACGTCACTTCTCAATATCCAATGCGGGAGAAAGCGATGGTGCGCTTGATCTCTTTGGTGTACATTGCTTATTTGCTCCAATTTCAGTCGATGCAAGACAAATTGTACGAGAAAAAAATGTATCTGATTACCAGTGGACTATTGTGACAAAAACCATCGGGGAACGCGGGGGGGGGGGGGGTAAGTGGGGCGGATAAATATTAGTGATGGAAATCTGACCACAGTACACCATGGATTCAATGGAATTTCTCTCACCCTGTCACAACACTACCTGTCTATTGAGCTCTCCAGTTGGATCAAGTCCGAAATAGGACCGGATCATTCACTTTTTGATCACGCTTCAGTTTGTTGCGAATCGCCGTCAAACAGGTGGATCAATAACTGAGATGCGTTGGCAAGTACAAATCTGTGCTTGAGCGTCTCGCTCGCATAAACTGAAATAGAGATAATTGCGGATTACCTCTGTGATCCTGAAATTGTTGTACATTAAAACTTGGGCGCGTGGGGGGAGGCAATAGCCATAGAGGATTAATATAGATTACACGCTGGATTTTGTAACAATTAATCACATTTCTAGTCGAGTCAAATTTCTCTGAAGGCTGACGCAAAAATGCTCGGATCAAATTCTCAAGAGAATGGATTGTGCTATGCTGTGAATAGACAAATTGAAACTGTTCGATCAGTAGCCCAGGTCTGCATAGTCCATCTTTAATTGAATCGACCAGTTAAAACAACTGTTTATGAAACCTGTCCGCATTGAAATAACTGTATACTACAGTGCTCCGCAGATTCTCGTCTTCTACTCTGTATACGAGGACGTTTGCTCGGGGTCATAACTAGCTAGCATTGCCCGTCGAAAACTTGAAACCGACAAAATGTAACAAATTTGACCATGACGACCAACTGTGTCGAAGTGTTCGACGAATCACCGATATCTTCGCATTGATTTCCGCAGTCCGAATCAATTATCATAGAATATACACATGTAGACACACATAAACAGAAACAATGCTGAGACACGTTGGCAAGCGTACCTTTTCGCGAATGGCCAGGGCTCGACGACACAACGGTTCGGCATCCTTGAACCGAGCGGCTTTTGCATATAACACGGCTAGATTATTCAACGCGGCAGCCACCTGGATGGAGAACAGTTAGGTGTGGAGAAAATACATCAATAAGTAAAGATAGTAGCTGATGATCAAAGCAGTGTAGCAGGCAGGAACAAAAATGTTGATGGTAAGAAGAAAAATCGAAAAATAAATTAAGAAACGCTTCAAGCAAGTATACATTTGGCCCTACGGGGACCATTGCGGCTGCTCAGACTGACACGGGAAAATAGTTCAACGAACCTGATGAGGTAAATCCTTCGAGCAGAAGGGTATCAGAAGATTTGTATCGCAGAGTAACCGGCATTCTATCCAAAGACGTGCACACACACACACACACACACACACACACACACACACACACACACACATCAGGAACCGTTAGCTCACTCACATCCACCAAATCTCCCAGTACAGATCGATCACCACGGGCAAACACTTTCAAGAGAAGCAACATGTTTGTGTGAGACGCACAGCAACAACCACTTATTGTGGACGACATAAAGACATAAACAAACCGATATGGTAATCGATTAAGCAACCGAGCAGTAAACCAACAGATTAAAAGTATCGAGATCAAATCGATACGGTCTCAAATTATCCATATTGCACGACACCAGATACACTTGTCGATCCCATGGGTATCACATGAGGCAACGTTGTGGACAGCAATTATAGTGTGAGAGAGAATTTCAGTCAGTGTCCGCCTACTCGGTTAGTGGACAGGGCATATCGGAGAGAGAGAGGTGAAATCCGCACACGCACGCGATTACAGCCCCAAAGACAGAATTCGGTTGGCTGGCTCATCATATTCAACCGATAGCTGATTGTTTTCATTCGACTGAAAAACGATTCGAACGAAAACTCGCGAAATATGTGCACGCGTGTTTGTGTGCGCGCGCCAGAAAAATGAAAGAATATACATGTACAGGTGCTGGTAAATCAGCATCAACCGAAACAGCGTTTCTTCTACTCACAGTGTCCGATTGGGAAGTTTTGCACACGACATGATGCAAGCAAGACTTCCGGAAGTTGGTTACGCCAAACAGACCGGGATAGGTGTTTTCGGATAGCGGAGTGCAATCAAATCAGTGGTCAATTAAGTTGTGGTACAAGCAGGAGGAACAAAAACAACAACAACGGTGGCATGGGTATAGGAAAACTGAGACCAAATCCTCAATGTTGTTTTTGTTTCTCTGAGGTGGAAGGAACAGTGATGATGTTTACATGTAAGGGGTCCTTTTCTCACACGCGCCAAAAACTCTTCACAAAGACTATCCAAACGACTCACGGTTTACCGGAAACACCGATAACTAGCAGTTTTGGAATGGGGTTGTGTGAACAAAAAGGAGGGAGTACACACACTCAGCAACTGAGGAAAAGGAGTGAAGAAAAGTTAGGTATTTGCATCTTTAAAACCTGTGGATTGCTGACCTCAAATACTACAATTCACTTAAAGCGAGAGATATCTCAGGAATGATTAGATAGATTAATGTGCTTTCGGCCACGTGTAGTCTGCTTTTGGCAAACTGACATCTTGTTTCAGCAATCCCTGGGCAAAAATGACATAGACAAGGAAATCTTCATAGGCTGGTTGATAAAATATTTGGTCTCACACAATGCCCTGGTAATTGAACTTGCATCCCATTTCACTTCTGTGTGAGCGTATTCCGTTTACGTGAGAATAAGTCGGTTTGCTAGATGATCAGTGGTATTTCACGGACAACGGGTGATGCGAACCCCGAAAACGTTAAATCTCTGCGGTTGGACAGACCATAAAGAGATGAACAACAGTGTGTGTGTGTGGGGGGGAAGGGAGGGGAGATTAAACTTCATAGTCACGACGACCCATGACTTAAACTTCTTGGTTAACTAGCGAGCCCAGGCCTGGAGTGATGAAGCGCATCAAGTCGCGTTGGGATAGGTGTGGTGTGATTATGCTGCCTATCCCCGAGATCGCACACTCTCGATCGAATATCCCCAATTAGGACAGCATGTACATGGATCCTAGGTGTGTCGTCTGTTCAATGACTAAAGTTTTGTCATGAAATAAATTGAAGCTCCTTAACAGCCAACAAGGAGAGGAGGCAAGTGAAAAAGCGTATTGATGGAATAAAAACATGAAACGAAAAAGTAACCGAACGACCGCTCATCAGACACCAACTCAGGTAAATCACAATGACAAAAACTTGTTGCGTACGCTTAGATTACAAAGCAGAGCCAACCTTGACTATAAATATTTTTACACCTGTCTGAATCCAGACTGTGTCAAACAAATCACGGTAGCTTTATTTTTAAAAGAAGCGTTAGATGACTTGCACGTGGGCGGAATACTACCAGGTTGCCCAGGCCAAAGCAGGTGAATTTGCGTGGAGAATCCACAACGAGTCAGAGCCTTTGGCTAGCCAAAGCCTGGCCCGCAAGGCAGTGGGGGGCGAGGTGCGAAAACCACAATCCATTGGTGTTCAGTTCATCGGACTAAAGGGCTTTGGTCGGGGTCAAACGTCCAGGGTGTCCAATCTCGATGACCAATCCAACTCGTGACCATTGTCACAACCGAAAAGGTGTGTATGTGTGGTCTGTACGCCTCCAAAAGCCTCAATATGGTCGCGGATGAGTGTCTAGGGTTGTGGCTAGTCACCCTGCTCTTGCACCTCGCGAAATTCGTCCATACAACCAAGCGTCTCAAATAGCCTCTGTAAACTCAAAGATTTACGATGTGGTCCTGGTGAATTTTCAGTTAGCGACCGACATGCTTCCCGATCTGGTTCTATCGTATCCGACACACACATCTGGCCATCCTACCTACACACGTGTTCACACTCGTTGATTCAGTCATGTGACACCCAACACACACGCACGCACACCATGACAATGCTTAACAGCTGAACTACGCCTACACGCACTAGGACAAGNGCGGTACAAAGAGAGTCCTGGCTAGCCACCGAATCAAGAATGGGGCTCATCCGACCAGACGCGCAGACGCAGCGGCGGGAAGTGCCTCGCGAGACAATGTTGACTGCCACCCGAAAAGAGCGAATCGACAATTGCAGCCCAACAGACAATCCGCAGCTAACGGGAAAGACACCCACCGAATGCCACAACGTCGGAGCTGTCGATCAACGCATCTCACGCCGCGATCGGGTCAAAACAGTCGGAATGGTACGCGGAAGAAGAGGCAACGTACGTGCCAAGTGCGGACTAAAACCAACAAGGAATTGGATCAAGAGACGTTTTCCCAGCCAGCTCGTCTTCTCGCTACAATATGACCATACACGCACTCACCGCGCCTGTCACTTCACCACTCTGACCCATTCGCGCAGTCGTGAACCCAGCCAATCAACGTACTTGTGACAGCCCATCAGTCTGGGTGACTAGGGTCTCACACAATCGATTACACACCGAACTATTATGTACGATCTCTGAGGGTTATATTACGTTGTTTATTTACGCGGACTCGAGAAGTCTTGACGTGAGTACTTACCCCTTCACTATCGATGTATGCCAATCTCCCATTTACGTGTACTAAATATTAGTTATTTATTTCTTACAGAACCGCATTGATATTCATATACGTATCCCGTACGATAAGGTGCTCGCGTTTTGCTCAACTCAAATGGGATTGTGAATAATCAAGCGAGTAATCAGATCGAGATCAGATTTACGTTAAAGGAGATCCACGGAGCTTACAGCCTCTGTTGAGGAAGCCCTACTCGCTGCCTTCTCGTGGCGGAGGTGTTTCCCCACCAAATTGAGAGAACGAAAAGCCGACATTCGGGGATATAACCGGGTTGATGGACCTAGGGGAGTTGGCCAAAAACCCTGATTCCAAAAAAAACCATGAGGAGGCGTACTGGGTAGAAAAAACAAGAGAACAAATTTTCAGTGGGTTAGAAAATGACCAGTAAGTTGACCTGGGAAAACATCATGTAGCGCGTGATTTTTGTGTGGTCAGATAGATCGACGTAGAAAAAGTAGCAGGTCTGGATATGTTTTATTGTTTGATCAGAATACGAACGGGCCAGAAGTGAAATCACATCATCGATGAAGAATTCCAAAACCATTTGACTGCTAAACTAGCCAATATGCAATTGAAAGGTGGTGACAGTAAAACCTAGCGGATCAGGTTTCTCGTCTTGTTCACTGTGTGACAAACACGTGACCAGTCAGATGATCAGAGAGTGATTGAGTGTGGCTAAGCTAAAGCAGTGACCGTTCATGGTAGGTCACTTTATCGAGTAGCATTGATAAGAGCATAATCGTTTGACAGCAAATACATTGTTTGGCGGGGGACCAGATTGAAATGAACTTTAGCAGGCTGTCACAAGAAGTGATATCGCCTTTAGGAAAGAGAGAGAGAGAGAGAGAGCGAGTTCTTCGGGAAGTGTTTATTTCACACTTTTCAACTAATAAGACCAAACATTAGCAAGTTAACAAGTAAACATAAGAGTGAGTAAAACTTTCTAAAGATCCCTTATCAATGGCAAGTACCATGTGGAACAAGATTAGCAGTCAGAACTTTTTTGATTACGTGTTACACGATGACTACGGGGTGCGAAGTCATTTGTCCAATCCGAAAGAGTGCGTGGTCGTGTAACTCTACGGCTTAGCCCGGCACTCGTTGAACTGTGTGTGAGTGTGCATTCTGACCACATCGGACAGCCTATCATAAATCATGAAGAACAGCATCGGAACGGGAGTGAAACGCAATAAAACGTGATGCGGGTGTGAACGAAGAACCGGGATCGGTTGCGCGTAATACAGGCCAAATGGAACCCGATAGAGAGAGGGTTGATGCACTCGTGGTGTTTGTGTGTGTGTGCCAGTGAACAAGTGATCATCTCTCCCGAGGATGGATAGTTCCCGTGTTAAAGTGTGATAGATTATGCAATAATAATAATACAGACACACCATAATCGTATTCCTGATGCTGACGGCTGCCGCAGAGAGAAGCAATCGTGTTTACACGAAGTCAATTGTTTACGCTCCAATTCTTAGTGAATGATGATTTTGATTGTACCAAACAAGCAGGCATCGATCCTGATCATCGATAAGAAAATACGCGCACACAAGTATACCCTGGTAACAGCACCACTACCACCACCACAACAACACAGCGAGAGGTGGGTTCAAATGGGGATCATCGAAAGGTATAAGTGAAGTATCGGACCAAACAAATGAACGCAACGCTTTTTTTATTTCAGCGGTAAATGAGAACCCGGTGGGATAAAATGAATTAAACGAAGGGGAACACACACCAGACGACCCACTTTCGTGTGACGGTTTAGGTTGTCCATTTGGATAAAACAGCAAAATGATGATTGGAATTTTGAGAGTAGATTCAAGCGAAAGGTAGCATATTTTCATAGACTGAAGTTACAGGAATAATGAATAGATGCATGAGCGCCACTGTTTGCGACACCCAGCCATTCACTCACTCAGTGTATCTAACCACCG